ACCAAAAGGTACAGTACTTCCATGATGTAAGGTACAATTGAAGTAAAGAGCTGAGTTTATTATTAAATGTCATTGTGTTATTTTGAAGCGCTCCCGTGATCAGTGGTCTAGACATCCTAGTAATTTAATGTGACCTACCCCCCACCCCAGTAATAACACACGTGGCTTACAAAAATACCATACGGGAAAGTCTCAGATCAGATACTATTTAAATGTGAAGCATTATTATTTTTGTTTTTGTTGTTACTCAGATTTTCCTACATAAAAGAAAACAGATATGATTCTAGTGAAAAAATGCCCCAGTTTTCATTTTCATATAGAGGACTGAGCATCCTCAGATTTTGGTACCCACAGGGAGTGGGGAGGCATGCTGGAACCCATCCCCTGAAGATACTGAGGGAGAACTTAATTTTGGGGGCAGTCAAAAGTTATATGTGGATTTTCAACTGTGCTAAGGGTCTGAGCTTCTAGCTCCCAAGTTGTTCAAGGGTTAACTGCACTCAGCTTTCAAAAAGGTAGAACAACCTCATAGTTGTTTTAATTTGCATCTCTCTGATGATTAGTGACATTGAGCATTTTTTCATACATTCCTTGGCCATTTGTATGTTCTGTTTGGAGTGGTGTCTATTTAGGTCCTCTGCCCATTAATTTTGGAAATTAATCTTTCATCTGATGCACCCCTATGTTCATAGCAGCACTATTTACAATAGCTAAGATCTGAAAACAACCCAAGTGTTCATCAGTAGATTAGTGGATACAAAAGATGTGGTACATGTACTAACTACAGTGTTATAGAAACTAAAATTACAATACTATATTGTAAATATTATAAATTTGCTTGGAAAATCTCAACCTTAGCATCTTGAACCTTTTTTCCACATCACATTGCTTATAAAGACTGAAGGATTTCAGTCTTCTTAGGGTATATTCCTAAAAGTGGGATCACTGGGTCAAATGGCAGTTCAATTTTTAACCTTTTGAGGTAACACCATAGTGTTTTCCAAAGTGGCTGTACCAGTCTGCATTCTCACCAGCAGTGTATGAGAGTCCCCTTTTCTCTACACCCTCGCCAACACTTGTTGTTTGATGATTTGTTGATGGCAGCCATTCTGACAGGTGTGAAGTGATACCTCATTGTTGTTTTAATTTGCATCTCTCTGATGATTAGTGACATTGAGCATTTTTTCATATATTCCTTGGCCATTTGTATGTCCTGTTTGGAGAGGTGTCTGTTTAGGTCTTCTGCCCATTTTTTAATTAGGTTCTTTGTCTTCCTTTTGTTGAGTTATATGAGTACTCTATATATTTTGAAAATTAATCTTTTATCTGATGCGCCCCTATGTTCACAGCAGCACTATTTACAATAGCTAAGATCTGAAAACAACCCAAGTGTTCATCAGTAGATGAGTGGATACAAAAGATGTGGTACATGTACACAATGGAGTACTATGCAGCTGTAAGAAAGAAAGATCTCTTGTCATTTGAGATGACATGGAGGGACCTGGAGAGTATTATGCTAAGCAAAACAAGCCCAGCAGAGAAAGACAAATATCGCGTGATCTCACTTATTTGTGGAATATAATGAACTAAACAAACTGATGAACAAAATTAACCCAGAGACATAGAGGTAGGATACAGACTGATAAACCCCAGAAAACAGGGTGTTGGGGGGGAAGAGATAAACCACAGATCTTAATATGCATGTATGCATAACCAATGGACATAAACGACAAAGCTGGGGATGGGACGGGGGCGGGGGATGGGGAGAAGGGTGTCAATGGGGGAAAAAGGAGAAACATCTGTAACAAAAACAAATTAATAAAAATAATAAAACATAAAAAAAAGGCTAAAGTAAATGATACTACATATTATAAGACTTTAATTTTATGATTTCAATTTAAAAAATGTTTTCATTTTGATTTACAGCTGGAAGCACTGTTATAGATCATCTAGTCCTTGCTTCCCAGGGAGGGAGACTGAAGCCAGGGAGAAAAGCGCTTCACTCAGCTGGGTGTTGGTGGAGCCCAGACTAGAGCCCTGGCAGGCTCCCTGATGCCTAGTTCTGGCTCTCCGGTCAGTATTTCGTTCTACCTTTTTGAAAGCTGAGTACAGTTGACCCTTGGACAACTTGGGGGCTAGTAGCTCAGACCCTTAGCACAGTTGAAAATCCACATATAACTTTTGACTGCCCCCCAAATTAAGTTGTCCCTCAGTATCTTCGGGGGGTGGGTTCCAGCATGCCTCCCCACTCCCTGTGGGTACCAAAATCTGAGGATGATCAGTCCTCTATATAAAGTAGTGTATAGTCAGCCCCTGCGTCGTGGACTCCCAACCATGGATGAAAAGCAGTACAGGTACTTGTAGGAAAAAACCCACGTATAAGCAGACCAGAGTATAAGTTCAAACCTGCATGGTTCAAAGGTCAACTGTATTTGCAACAACACCCCTGCTCCCCCATTCTGTTCTTTAACACTGCTTTTATCTCCGATGTTAATTTTGAGCCAGTCTGGAGTCCTCAGTTAGAAGCGTCTCTGGGCCTCAGCATCCTCATCTGTAAAACTAGTGCTCAGCCTGCAGGGTGGCAAGGTCCAAGTGAAATAACATTTGAAAAGTGCCTGGCATATGATGAGCTCTCAATAGTGTCACTGAAAATCCAATATGGTCCTCAAAATCCATTTTGGGGTGGGGGGAGTATTTCTATCTTGTGACAGGCAAGAATGATTAAAAAAAATAGATTTTTTGAGGGGTTGGACTGACTGTAAGGCTGTCTCTCATTCAGAACTGGTGAACGCGTAGTGCTTTTAGTTTATTTTATTATGACTACTATTATTATTATTTTTATCCTCACCCAAGGACATTTTTGCATTTTATCTTCAGATAGAGCAGGAGGCAGAGAAGGAGGAAGAGAGAGAGAGAAACATCGATGACACTGACTGGTTGCCACTCCCACGACCCCAACCAGGGCCAAGGACAAACTGCAACCGAGGTCCGTGCCCTTAGAGGGAACCGAACCCGGGCCTCTCTGGTCTGCTGGCCGATGCTCTAACCGCTGAGCCAAACTGGCCAGGGCAGTGCCTTTGGTTTGTAGACTGGTCCTGCTGAGTAATAGCTGAACGTAGGACAGAAGAGGAAAAGCTGCTATGCCCACACCTCCCTTCCACGGGGCAGGAAGCATCTCTGGAGCTGGAGGAGTGAGGATGACTCAGGTAATGGCAGCTCCCCTGTCCTGGGGCTTACCGGCCGGGCACACACCCAGCTCTTCACAGAGCTTTCCCCCTCTTAAAGCTCACAGCCACCTTTTGAGGTAGGTCCCCATTATAGCCATGAAAAGCGGAGGCTTGGAGTTTAGTAATTTACACAAGGTAAGTAACAGAGTTAAGACTTTCTGATACCAAGCCCCGACTTTTAATTCAAGTCCCTATGCCCAAATTGTTGGTGCTCAAATTCATCAAGTAACTGCTCAGTTTTCTACTTTGCTGGTGTAGATACAGGCGACCCCCATCAGCGGGCAGTTTCCCTGTCCCTCCTGGTGGCAGGGAAAAGGCACCCAGGCGGCTGCACAGGTTTTCCGGCACTGGGGTAACAAAGGGCCACAAGTCGGGGGGCTTGACGCGGTGGAAGGTTTTCCTCTCATCCGCCCTCCCGGGGGCTAGAAGGCTGAAATCGAGGCTCTGGCAGGGCCACGCTTCCTCTGAAGGCTCTGGGGAAGAATGCTTCCTCACCTCTGTTGCCTTCTGGGGATTCCTAGCAATCTTGGGGGTTCCTTGGCTTGTACCCACCTCTATCTTTACATGACCTTCTTTCCTGTGTCTGAGCGTCTGAATCTCAAGTCATGGAATTTAGGGCCCATCTGATCCAGTCTGACCTCATGGTAACTTGTTACATCTGCAAAGACTCGATTTCTAAATAAGGTCACATTCTGAAGTTCTGGGTGGACATGTAATTTTGGGGGGACACACTTTAACCCTCCATTACTGTTATCCCTGGAAAGACTATTATCGACATGAGAATCCACTCCCAGAAATGACACATTTTTACCTTTTCCAGGGCACCGTGGCAAAACATAAGGCATCTTTCACTTTATAATCCTATTATTTCTACGATCAGGTATTTTCTGTTGCAAATTGCAATAGCACATAGTTAGTCTGGAGTCTGTTTCATAAGCCTTTTGAAATTTAATGAGCTGCAAGCAAAATCTGATTTTTCAGAAGAAATAATGCAGCGGCACCTTCTGAAGCACTCAGAGAGCTCGTGGCCATGAACCCTTCCAGGAGCTCACCCCCAGAAATGTTCCAAGGCTCACGTCTCCTTCCTCAGAGCCCTGGAAAATAGTGCCATTTGTCAGGAAGCCATTTATCTGTCTTCATGGCTGGTGGGAGTGAAAAGTGACAAAACAATGTTATCAGAGGCCATGCTCACAGTTGTGATCGGCGTCAAGGAGACCCCAACTGGTTCTACATTTATTTATCAGAACAGTCCGTAAGGTTTGTGCCCACACAAACAAACACCAGTATGCATCATATTTATGTCACAATTCTGGTTGAATTGGAAAGAAAAATTGGCACATTCTTAAACTGAATTTTTGAGTCCCCTTTCATGTTGAAAGCAAATGATTTCTTTGTTGAGCTTCTAGGCTCCAGCCCTGCTGGTTTTTTTTTTTTTTTTTTTTTTTTATCCTTGGAAGATGCCAAGCTTATTCCAGCCTTTATATATCTGTTTCTCCCTTTCTTTCTCCGTATCTTCCCGAGGCCAGCTCCTTTTTCTGACTCAAGATGTCTTCCCTGACCACTGCAGCTTTACTTTCATTATAGTACAATCTTCACCTGACTTGTAATTATTAATATTTTGTGTAATTGTTTTTATATTTGTCCTTCCCACCCGCTATCTAGAATATAAGCTCCATGAGATAAGAGACCTCATTTAATTTCTTGCTATATCCCAAGCACCTACTTGGCACAGAGTAGGTGCTCAGTTAATATTTCTGACTGAGTTCACTGACCCAGCCTGGATTCAGTTCTCATCCTGGACATAAGAGACTCCAGAAACTCCATTCAGAAGAACTCAGTGTCCAGTCTGTCCTCTGAGACAAGCAAGAGGCCAGGCCACTGGACACAAGCTGCACCCAAGCCGGCTGGAATCTCATGGGTAGGTACAGGGAACAGTAAGAAGGACCGTCCAGGATTATAGAGCTTATTGTTAAAGTCCAAGATGAAGTGAAATAAGCCAAGAATCCAGTTATCAACTCAAAGGGAATAGGCAAAGAGGGAAAATCCAGATTCAAGGAAACAGGAAGGAATTAGGGAAACCAGACCAAAACAATAAGGTTCAAAGTAAAGAATGGGAGGTGGAACTTGGAGGAAGTCCCTGAGCCATGGAATCGTAGGCACAGCTGCTTATAGGGTCTTTGACCAAGTGCACAGGTGGAAAGGAAGCTATTAAGGGTAGTGACTTAAACTCATTTACTCAGAATGAAATCAGACTTTCGATTGGACCAGTTCTAACCTTGTACCCTACTCCTACTTATTGGATCTTTTTATTTATTTATTTTATTTTTATTAAAAAAAGTTCTTTCCCTTTATTGATTCTAGAGAGAGAGAGAGAGAGGATGAGAGAAGGAGAAAGGGACAGAAACATCAATGGGAGAGAACATAGATTGGCCGCCTCCTGCATGCCTCCCACTGGGGATTGTGCTCCCTGACAGGAAATCTAACCGGCAACCTCTTGGTGCATGGGTTGCCGCTCAACCACTGAGCCACACTGGCTACACATTCCTTTTATTTGCAGACAGAGTGGGATGGGGGGTGGTGGAAAGAAGGGGGAGAGAGAGAGAGAGAGAGAGAGAGAGAGAGAGAGAGAGAGAGAGAGAGAGAGAGAGAAACATCAATGTGAGAGAGATACTGAGCTGCAACCAAGATATGTATCCTTGACTGGAATTGAACCTGCGACTCTTTGGTCCACAGGCAAACACTCTAACCACTGATCCAAACCGGCCAAGGCTAGATCTTGACCTAATCTCCCAAACCCACTGTTCTCCTAGAATTGAACATTAGTCCTAGAATTGAACATTAGTCTTGTTCCCAGTTATGGAGAGATGAGATGAGCAGAGGATGGAATTAGGTATAGAATAACAGATGTTCTACTGTAAATAGATCTGGCAAGCCTTGTTTTTTACAATTAAGTGTGAGCTTTGAAATGCTTATGAAAAATAATTATTAAAGGAAAAACTTAAAGTGAGCCTTGGGGATAAATGGGGGTTGTATGTTGCTAACTAGCTAATTATTCCTATGGATAGGCATTGTTTAATCTTTAGCCAGAGTGGTACTGTGATATTTATGAGCTGATCTATAAAGTTTTAAGTGTACTTTGTTCACAGTAAAATCTTAAAAGTCTACAGGGTTATCCTTGGCTGGGATAATATGGGGTAAGAGTCCTCAAGGTGTAGCAGAAACACTTGCAGGAAAGAGAAGCGAGGGTCCTAGCCCTGGTCTTACTGCTGCATAGTGGCAAGACATTTGTCCTCCACACCATCATCTGCCAAGTGAGCAGATTTCCAACATGATTGATTCTCTGTTCACCTGTAATATGTATAAGATCAGAATTTATATAACAAAATATGCATGTAAATGTGTTTTCAAGATATATGTGCAATTAGATTGATATGAGTCTGAAAGTAAATTGGCCTGGTGACGGTCGCATCCTGCGCTTACATGAACTATAGTGTCAGATGCAGCTTGGTTTTTGGATTCAGGTTCATGGTGGGACTTTGGTTTGTTCATCTTGCTTCCATGCTTCTGACATAAGGCTATGGTGGACATCTCAGTTGTTCTGCAATCTCAGCCTCTAGTCTTTGTTTTTTTGGTAACAGCCTTATGATCTTTCCTAGGGGAACATCGCTTCTCCACTCTTAGTTCATGGTCAAGACGGCTGTATGGCCTCACACAGGCCTGTCAGAACACGATGTTCCTCAGGCCATGGTGAGTGGTTCAGGGATGGGTACATGATCCCGTCAGAACCAACTGGATTTAATCCTTTTTTGTTTCTAACTATTAGAAAGACAGCATCTGTATTTCTGAAGGACATCGGGTATACATCTGGAATTGCTGATGCCCATCCAGACACCGCAGGGGAGCCTGACCAACAGCGGAGCCATTGCAGAGGATCGCAGGCTGCACTTCCCCACTTATCAGGTTCTGAAGGTTCCAGATAATCCAGCTAAGTGTGAGGTTAGTTAATCATGGACTTTAGTTTCATGAACTCTTAAATGTTGGTTTTTTGCTGAAACAAATTTGAACTGGATGTTGTTATTCGTGACCGAAGGAGTCTTGATATAAAGGCATGTATCTTCCCCAATGAGCAATAAAAATGAAATCTAAATTTTAAGCAGGGATGTTGACTGCTTTTCCATCACCTAGGTCAGTGCCTGGCCCATTGTGCTCAACAGATATTTGTTACAATAATTAGAGCAGTGAGGCCCATTAACCAGTTCTTATTATGTAGTAAATGTTTGTTATAGAAACTTTGCGAAAGAGACAAAAAAAGGAGTAACTGCCCTGGCTGGCATGACTCAGTGGGTAGAGCATTGGCCTGTGCACGGGGGGTCGGGGGTTCGATTCCAGGTCAAGTGCATGTAGCTGGGTTTTGGGTTCAATCCCTGGCCCTGGTTGGGACCAGGGGTGTGTTGGGAGGCAACCAGTCGACATTGATGTTTCTTTCTTTCTCTCTCTCTAAAAATCAATGGGAAAAAAATCCTCTGGTGAGGACTATAAAAAAAAAAAAAAGGAATAACTATCACTAATTACCTTACCATTCAAAAAGAAGCATGGTTACCTTAGTTTATGGTATATTGTTTTTTAATCATATATCATATATTTTTCAAAAATTTTTCCAATTAATATATAATGAGCCAATTTCCAAGTCACTACATAATGCTTTGCAGCACACTTTTAAATGGGTACATAGTATTTTATTGTATGGATGAATCAAGAGTTAATTAAGAAATCCCCAATTATGGACTTTTGGACTGCTTTCAATTTTCAGTAATATAAACAGACTGAATATTTACAAATATCAATGATTATTTTCTTAGCACCATTTCCTAGAAATGAAATTATTGAGCCAAAGAGTATGAACAATTTTAAGATTAATAAAAAATCCTCACCTGAGGATATGTTTTTATTGTCTTTCAGAGAGAAAGGGAAATGTCAGTGTGAGAGAGAAACGTCAGTTAGTTGTGTCCTGTATGTGCCCTGACGGGGAATCGAACCTGCAATTTTTTTGATGTATGGGACTGTACTTTAACCAACTGAATCACTCAACCAGGGCCAATTTAAAAATTTTTGATACAATACTGCAAAAGATTGCTCTCATTAACCTGACTATTAAAAGTTTGAAAAATCTTTGAACAATGAATAGGTAAGAAATACATTTTTATTTATTTTTCTTTGTTAGTGAGGTTTATATTTTTAAGAAGTATTATATAGGTCATTATATTTCTTCTTTTATGAATTCTAGAGTAGTTCTTTATGTTATCATGTTTTTATTTATTTATTTTTTTTTCCCCACATCTTTATTGTTGGATGTAAAATGTATTACAGATGTTCCACATTTTTACCCCATTGACCCCCTCCTCCCCACTCCCGCCCCCCTCCCACCTTTTCCCATACTATTGTCCGTGTCCATTGGTTATGCATATAAGTTCTTTGGTTTATTTCTTCCCACCCCCCAACCCCTTTCCCTTTGAGGTTTGTCAATCTAGCAATGAATTTGTGCTTCTTAATCCCTTCACCTTTTTCATCCATTCCCCCAACCCCTTTCCCAACTGGCAACCAACAAAATATTCTCTGTATCTATGAGAATGTTCCTGTTCTTCCTGTTCATTTTGTTTGTAGATTCCATTGTTGATAGATATGTATTCTTGCCATTTTGTTTGTTCCTACATTTTATCTTTTTCTTTAAAAAGACCCTTCATCATTTCATATAATAATGGTTTGGTAGTGATGAACTCCTTTAATTTTTTCTTGTCTGGGAAAGTTTTTATATGTCCATCGATTCTAAATGACAGCTTTGCAGGATAGAGTAATTTTGGTTGTAGGTTCTTGGTTTTCATCACTCTGAATATTTCTTGCCACTCCCTTCTGGCCTGCAAAGTTTCTTTTGAGAAATCAGCTGACAGCCTAATGGGAACTCCCTTGTAGGTAACTAGCTGCCTTTCTCTTGCTGCTTTTAGGATTCTCTCTTTGTCTTGAACCTTTTGCATTTTGATGATGATGTGTCTTGGTGTGGGCCTCTTGGGGTTCATCTTGTTTGGGACTCTCTGTGCTTCCTGGACTTGTATGTCTGTTTCCTTCACCAAGTTAGGAAAGTTTTCTGCCATTATTGTTTCAAACAGGTTTTCGATTTCTTGTTCTCTCTCTTCTCCTTCCGGCACCCCCAAGATGCGAATGTTGGCACGCTTGAAGTTGTCCCAGAGGCTCCTTACACTATCCTCATTTTTTTGGATTCTTTTTTCTTTTTGCTGTTCTGGTTGGGCGTTTTTTGCTTCCTTATATTCCAAATCGATGGTTTGCTCCTTGGATTTACGTACTCTATTATTGAAGCTATGTAAATTATTCTTTATTTCAGTTAAAGCCTCCTTCGTTTCTAACTGTGCAGCGATCGTTTCTGACTGGTACTTTTTTATGCTCTTGAGGCCCTCACTGAGTTCATTGAGCATCCTTATAAGCAGTATTTTGAACTCAGCATCTGTTAGGTTGCTTATCTCCATTTCGCTTAGTTCTTTTCTTGGGGTTTTGTTCTGTTCTTTCATTTGGGACCTGTTTCTTTGTCTCCTCATTTTGCTGCCTCCCTGTGTTTGTTTCTGTGTATTACTTAATGAGAGGTATGGGGCTCGCTGAGACCCGATGCTGCTCGTTTGAAAGAATTTAGGAAAAACCTGAAGCAGGATCCAAGACAGGCCAATCCTATGGTTAAGCAAGTAGCAACAGCTTGGGTGGGCCTGAAAGTTGGGTGGGGCGGGGCCTCAGGGAGTCAGCAGGGCGGGGCTACCAGTGTGAGCCAGGTTGCTGGAGTCCCAGATATGGCGACTGTCTGCCGCTCCAGGGAAGGGCTCACCAAAGGAACAAAGGCCTCTGACAGCACGTTCGTCCCCGAGAAAGCCCCCTCTCCAGCCCTCGCTCCAGTGCCAAACAGCTCAGTTCCTCCCTGTATTTCTCTGGTGCCCCTGGAGCTGCCTCCCCTCCGAGCTTAGAGGGAGAGAGTCCGACCAGTCTGTGCGCGGGCCCTTTAGGGAGCTGCCTGTGGCTCCAGCCAGGTCAGCTTCCCTGAGCCTCAGTTTCTGCTGGTTTTTCCAGCCAGAAGTTATGGGGACTTCTCTTCCTGGTACTGGAAACCTGAGCGGGGCACCTGGTGTGGGACGGGGACCCCTCAGTCCTCAGGAAGGACCTTCCCAGCCTCGGGAGCCTCCTGATTTTTATCCGCCACACTTGGGTGTGGGACCAGCACGTCGCACCGCCGCCGTGCCGCTGCCGCCACCCCTCGCGCCGCCGCCCCTCCTACCAGTCTGGATGTAGCTGCCTTTTTTTTAAATTCCGTAGTTGTAGGACTTCCATTCAGCTTGATTTCAGGCGGTTTTGGATGATGGTTGTTCTGTAGTTTTGTTGTAACTTGGATGTGGTTGTGGGAGAACGCGATACTGCGTTTCCCTACGTCGCCATCTTGACCGGAAGTCTCTATGTTATCATGTTTTTAAAATACACTTACTGTATTTTATATTTGAAGATGCTGCTTCAGGCCTGTGGAGCAGAATTAGTCCCATAAATTACAAAAACATTTTGGGAGCCACTGCCATACCTATTTGAGATGCTCATACCAGCATTTCTACTAGGTCTAATCACATTTTAAAAACAAATTATTTTTCTTTATTGCTTTTTAGAGAGAGAGAGGGAGAGGGAGAGAGATAGAAACATCGATGAGAAAGAACATCGATTGGCCACCTCCTGCATGCCCCCAAGTGGGGATTGGGCCCACAACCTGGGCATGTGCCCTGACCAGGAATCGAACCAGCAACCTCTTGGTGCGTGGATCAGTGCTTAACCACTGAGTCACACCGGCTGGGCCAGGTCTAATCACTTTTAAAGGTCTCTTTGCTTACTCCAGACCATCAATGTCAGTAGTAGCATCATCAGATGTTCCTATTTCACTAGTTCAAATCATCATCCAGTTTCCCCAGATTATTTATTGCAATAGTCTCCCAAATGGTCTTCCTTCCTCGTTCTCCTTCCTGCACTAATCTATCACCTGCCTTCTCACCTGGAAAATAAACACTCGACCAATCAAACAAATCGTCGCTTGCACTCACATTACTGCCCATAAACCCTCGTTGACTCCACATTGCTTACCGAGTATAGACTGAGCTTCTTGCACTCCAGGCTTACTGAGCTCGAGGCCTTTCACGATTTGGTCTTGGCTTCCCTTCCATTCCAATATTGCATGTCTTTTAACTCATGAACCAAGTAAACTGCCTCTATGCCTTTATTCACATTGCTTTGTTTTCCTTGAGTGCCCATTACTTTCATCTCTGCTTGTCAAAAATCCTTGCAGACACAGTCCATATGCCCCATCCCCACCCCCTCAATGAAGTCATCTCCACTCCTCCAGCCAGGAAAGTCTCTCCCTCTTCTGTGCATCAAACATACATTATATATAAATCTTAGAGAACCTACCTCCCCCCTGTTACCTTCTATGGTTATTTTTATAGATGACTTGTCTTCCTTAATGAGGAGAACACTCATCAAATATATAATTATAACTCTGAAAGGAAAAATCAGTCAAAATATTTAAGAGGCCTACGTTTCCCCCTTTACATTGCAGATCTTGTCCCTGGCCTTTCCTGCGCTTGTATGTCAGCATCTCTCTTAACCTAGTAACTATTTTTGTAGCTCTGACTGTCATGATTTCCACTGTGACATTTGCATGAGGTTTTCTGAAATGCGTGTCTGGATTCCACTTTGTTTTTCTTCTGTGTTTAGGGAGAAGAAAGGCAGGCGGGGGGAGTTTGTAAACACGGCCTGGGGACCTTCCCCCAACAGGCAGCCAGACACTTTGATCATTAGTCCTGTTAAGCGTCTTCCTTTCTGCTGCCTTGTGACGATCTATTTTCCAGGCCTGTT